ATGAAAATGACAATCATTATTATTCTCTGTGCCTGACATTTCATCGTTTTATGTTAAATTTGTTTTTCGCACGTTTAATCGTTACTATTTTGGAACAATCAAAATCACAGGTTAATTAATTAACATTTCACATAAAACACTGTAGATAGTTGAAAATAATAATAATAATAACTAATTGTTGTACCATCTTTATCCAAAAACTGTGAGTTAAATTGTTATTGTTTTTCTCATTTTTCTTGTATTTATAAGGAATCAAATTTATTTCCCTGTATTTAATATCCTCATTCCCTTGTTTCATTATTCACATATGTTGTTTTCATCTTAAATAACATAATTATCTAGTCTTTATATTACTTATCATCTAACATTATTGACAACATTGTTGGTTAATTTTTAGCGCCTTGCCTTTACTACTTATTTGATGTGTTGTGTGTATTTAAAACGGTGTAATTTCCATATAATAGTGAAGTTTTATCGAATAATATGTATGCAACACCTGTGCATATATATATATATATATATATATATATATATATATATATATATATATATATATATATATATATATATATATATATATATATATATAATGATGGTTTTTACTACTGTTTTCTTTTCTGTGCATACACGCATTTATCTATTGAAGTTCAGTTGCTTTTGAGTTAAATTTGTTAGTTTATTTATTTTTGTAAGTATGTTTGCTTCTAAAAATTGGCGAATGTATTTTGTACACATTGGATATATATGATGTGTCATCTATTGCACTGACCATGGTTTCTAAATTGTGTAACATCCAACTCTACCTACTTCTATAGATTTTTAGCCAATGTAATTCTTGTTAAGAGATGGTTGGTACACCGTCATGTTTGTACAACATTAAACATCGATTACTGAATTCTATTCGAATAAATAGATATGATATGTCATCCATAACTTAATAACTTGAGATAAAGTTTTACACTACTATATACTGTGATGACTGGCCAGATTCATCCGGAAAACCTGACATGATACCTAATTACAAAGCAGGGAACTTGATTATTTGGCTGACTTGACATATTTATTACAAGTTACATATGCTTTAAGTTTTATCTACTTATGCAAAGAAATCTAGAACCTGATAAATAGATGATGATGGAATTACTTTGAAGTTATTTAATCTATTCTGCCCATCTAAATACACGTTAAGTTCGATCATGGGATTGTTTCAATTTTACAGTGGTTCGTTTCAAATATTGACTCATATTGTCTATTATTTCTCCCAAAGGGATGTTAATAAATTTTGAAAATATGGCATACAAAACCATAAGTTTTTTCCCCTTTTTGTGAACTCAAAATTAGGTTTTAAAGTGTAGTCATCTGTTCATTGAGAAATTGTTTTGGTTTATATGCCTAACCAACCTTCAGTTTCTTTAGTCAGGTTCACAAAACTATTGTTAGTCCAGTTTTTCTTTTCATATAAAATAAGAATAAATGTCCTTCTACATTGTGATTAGTTAGGATACATCAACACTCCACATGCTTCTGATATCACCCGATTTCATGTTACTCACTATTAGCTCCCAACATTGATACTTATTGATTTTCTATAGCACTAATGTAAGTTAGGACAATGAACATTTTGTTCTGCACTTTATTTTTAAAACTTGCTGACTTCTATACTGAATAGTAGGTTAGTTCACGGAAAAAGCAGTTGATCATAATAGATTATTGATCTCAAGTGGTTACCAGCTTGTGCTCTTCCAATTGTTTACATATAAATGAAAAATATGAGCCCTGCGGGTAGATGTCACTTTTATGTCAGTTCGTCAATCACGTTCTTTTTAAAAACTATAAATTGTTCATTCATATAGTTTTATAGAGTTACAATGTATGCTTATTTGCATTTCGCTCTTTGAATTCGCACACTTCAAAAATCAACAGTTCCCTATACTTGATTCATAATTAAATAACTAAAATCCAAAAATCTGTTAACTTTTACACTTAGTCTCAGTCATTTTCAAATGTAATTCGATCAAGACAATAGGATATGACAAGATCGCTTACGTGTTGACTTTGAATGTATGTTGAGTTATTAATCATATTGTCTTTTCAATTAGTATGACGTCAGATGAATAATAAGTCCTACTGATCAGTAACTTGAACCTGTCATTTTAAAGAACAATTAGTTTATTCATATATATATATATATATATATATATATATATATATATAATCGTTAGTTATATTAATAACAAATAGATTTAGGTGTTACACAACCAATTTTATTTCGGCTTCACTGAGTACTTATATTTACTAGTTCATCTTTTATGTGACAGTTGCGGAAATATTTTAAACCCTGTTAAATAGACGCTTCATCAAATCCTATTTGTATTGGATTGAACAGAAACAATGGGAATCAAGATGTTTTATTTATGTAGAGTTTCTATACATCTATTATAAGACACAAACATATTCAAGAAAGAAAGTTAGTCTCATCTCAATCAAAGTTAGTGTCGTCGGTCTCTTGAGTATGTGATAATGGAATCCAGAAGAGTCGTTTAATATTAGTGTAAACTCTCTTGATTAACCATTTTGTCAACTGACTTGAACTTGTACGGTGTTAATCTTATATACATATAGATAAAAAGCTGTTTAGGTACCAATACCAAGGTTGGAATTGATAGTTTCAAATAAATTGAGCAATGGGTTGAGAGTTAATAATAAATATATTTTTGTTATATCCTAATGAGTAGAAGACTTGTATTTTTGACGTTTCGTGGCAATATAAACCGCTTCAGAGTAAATAAATAACCGACATTAAATTAATACACTTGTATTAATTTGTTGCTAATGTAGGATATGGGCTTTTATTTCATAAATTAAAAATCGCTATCGAATTAATCGGAATACACATTGATTACCGGAAGGCTAAAATATAAATCTCTCATGTTCTGCTAAAAATATACAGAAATAAAATCCTATATTCATTATATTGTTACTGTGATATTTGAAAGAAATTCTCAATATACTAATAGAAGAACTAAATTTCCATGAACTGATTATATATTAATTCAATTTGTATTGTCCTTGATTTCACTGTTAGCCACCATTCATCTTTGTATATAATGCTTGTGATTTTATATTAGTTTTCATGAAGGAAAAATTTCATCTTGTTAAATCTACCATATTTTTAAAAAAAAATTTTACTAAGTAATAGAGCTCAGGCTTATGAAACTAGTCTTAAATTACATTGATCGTGTGTAAGCTAATGACAATTATTCACTTGTTTAAAATGAATTAGTCAGAGTAAGTTTCAAAGATCTAATCTAATAATCAAGACAAATGAATAATTAAACTTTCCAGCCATTAATTCAATCATTTTAATAACAAGTAAAAAAAAGAAGACATTACTATTCTTATTATTACTATTGTTATCATGATTAGTATTACTTGTACAATGTGAAGATACTCTCAATATCGAACACTTGAGATTATAATAAGATATATGCATGAATGTGTATATGATGAATAAATGCAGTTAACAAATGAATGTATATTTTATACTAGAAATGAATTAATTAATGTCATATTGTTTATATTACTTAAATAATCATTATTTCTGCCTTCAATTGTATAAATAAAATACAGTAAATTATTTAATAAGCAGAAAATAATGATAATAAGAGTATATATATATATATATATATATATATATATATATATATATATATATATATATATATATCAGTCAGTAATGTCAACCGCAAGATAAAACACTCCATGTATATACATAAAAAATCAATTTAAGAAACGATGAAATTTACATTCTTCTCTTGTTCTTTCTTTATATCAATAAAAAATAATCAAAGAAATTCAATACAATTGTGAATAAAAGGATAAGGATTGTAGAATAGAAGAAAAACAAACAGTAAACAATGAATACTCTCATTTGAGTCACAATGATGTTATTCTGCATTTTAGTTAGTTGAAAGACAGTACTTATATATATATATATATATATATATATATATATATATATATATATATATATATAACATAAGTCTTCTTGACACATATCATTCTATCGGCAATGATGTAAATAACCATTTAAAAATATAAATAAATATGTAAAAAGGGGTTAAAATAAATATTGAGAAATAAGATCAGTGTATGGCATAAACAAAAGTGAATGTTTAAAAAGTAATTATAAAAGATTATTATTTATGAATTAATTTGTATATAAATAATAATAATAATACAATTATTATACGAATAGTATACATTAAATAGAAATGTATATATTATGTATTATTAGTTAACTGCCTTAGAGGTAGTTAAATTATCAGTAGTCTTTTAAATTATAATAATAATAATAATAATAATTTTAATTAAATGGATAATATTAGATTGATTTAAGAATTAATATAAAATAAACAAGATGATTGAAAAAAAACGGGGGGGGATAAAAATACAAAATAATTAAATATTATTTATCCTATTTGCATAATTGTTGTATCCTGTTATCGGTCAATTTGCTTTTGTACATATGTTATATATTTATGTAATGCCTGTATATATATATATATATATATATATATATATATATATATATATATATATATATATATATATATATATAGTGGTTCTAATATTCCTAAATAATTTAATATTTATGAATTTTTGTATTCAATATTTAAATACTTTGTATATTTTGAGGTAATTTCTATGAGATATTCACATGAATATGTTGTGCTAATAAGATATTATCAATAATAATAATAATAATGATAGAATAAACTATAAATGTTAAAATGAATAAGGCTAATATTGATGAATAAAGTTTTTTTTCTCTGTTTTCTTTTTCGAATATTTCACCTACATAGATTGATTCAGATAAATTCTGTCAACAAAATAAGGAAGACAGTTGATAAGTGTTTATCATTAATTGATAGATAATTTTTATGGTCCCCGTGAATTGTTTACAGGAGAGAGGTGTAAGGCATGAATATACATATATATTATCGGCTACGTGGAACGGATCCATTCAATGAACTACCAGTAACAGAACCAGTAGTATTTCCTATTGAATCACAAGGACTACGAACTTCTGATTTTAAACGAACAAATTCACGAGCTATCTCATCTTGAGGACGTTGTGATAATATACGTAGTATAGTCCATCCAGTATCATCAAGATGTAATCTTTTTCCCAGACTACAAATACATGCACATGCACCACTTTGACCAACACCAGTTCGACCATCTCTTGAATGAATTGTAGGTGAAGCATTTAAATCAGTTGTTGTTGCTAAATCACGTAGTTGTAATACAGTCAATCCAATCAATCGATCTGTTCGACCGAAACAATAATCTTTGGCACACATATGTAATTCATACGATTCTGGATCAGAACCAGCACTGAGAAAGCTAGAAATTTTGACAAAGAAAATAGAAAGAAGATTATATTCATGTAGAATTATTGGGCATAGCATCCAGTGGGATGACTGAAAGACTAATATAAACGAAAAATATTTTACTTAAACCACTACTAAAAACATAAAAGCAACGGATTCGTGTTTCGTCCCTGTATGAGATATCTCAGCAGTGAGGTTCAAGGACCCCGCAACTATGTAGGTGATGAGACAGTTGTCCCCCTTAGGCAATAGAAGATAGTTGTGGAATATCGTGGATTAATTCAAGTTGAAAGTCAACACAATTGGATCTCGCTTCATTGACTATATATATATATATATCAGATTGTACATGCTTTATTGTAATAAAGGTTGAAAATGCTACATAACCAAACCTGTAATAATCTCATAACTGTGATGGAATAGCCATTCAATGTTTCCTGGTTTTCAATGGTGGTCTAACTAAGATCATTCTGTAATTCGACTTGTGATCATTTATTAATTATTCATTGAAAACACTTTTCCCCTTAACCCAAACACAATATCTCACAAGTTTAAATGACTCAATGGAGAAATTCTAAATAAACATTAATTTACTTCCCAAGAAACCTGAAATCTTTACAAAAATGCCCATTTCATTAAAATTAGGAAGACATTCATTCTCTAGAAAACATACAATGTAAATGTTTCATTAAACACAGGTGACCAAACATTATTCTTTGATTTTGTTGCAAATTTATGCTTTTTTTCACTTAATAATGGACCAAATAATACTACTTCAATAAAAGGTTTAAATGTTCCCGATGTTGTCCATTTCAAATTATTCGCTGCAATAACTAAACAGAAAAAAAGAAAACATAAAATGATGTAACTTTAACGAAAAAAACAAGACATAAAAACATTGTTCGATTTCGCATGGAATATGAGATGTTGACTGTTTCAAAAGTTAATAAAATGTATCAAAATTTAATTTTATTAAAGGGTGCTTGTATATATTGTTGAATTTTACGGGCGATGCTTCAGTAGTCTAGAGTTTAAGTGTGTGACTCGATATCTGAAGGTTCTAGGCTCGATCAGTGATGAACTGCGGATGCGCGCTGCTGAGGAGCTCCACTTCTCAGTGATTCCTGATTCTCAATGGTTGCATGGGATCAGCATGTGATGTAAAGTATAAAATTAAGTTTTATGATACTGTAATTTGTTGAGAAAACTGGAAATTATTTTGGTCTGGAGAGGTTATCTATTCTCTGATAAGACGTTTTATAGAAAACGTCAGAAATTCGACTGCGTATTGACTGGGATATTATCATTACCCTAAATAATCGAACCGTTGCTCAACCGAATTGGAGGTATTAAGTCAAGATTTCTTAGGAATATTTCCAAAGAATCTATTATGGTGATAAGTTTTTTCTAGATTTTGTTGTAAGAATAATGATTTATGCAAGTATTAATCAGTGATTTATTGTAGCTGCCTACAGAATTGCCACCAAGCAGACACCTATGTACTCACATTTCTTCGTCGCATGATTTTATTTGAAGTCAAGTATAACATATAATTACTGTAGCATATATTCTATCCGATGATTGACTGAAATACACATATCTTTCACATATCAGAATGTTGTGAATTAAGGGCTTCAACGTTTTTAATGTTATTTTACAATAGTAACTGTTTGTATTGTGAATGGAGTGACTCTATGTTTCTCACATATAGATTTTCAAATATAAAGCCGTTGACATCAGTTAATGTGTGAATGGTGAGGTGTAAATCGTTGACGATCTTAACTGATTATCGAATTTTAATACGAATTGATTAAAGTTTGAAATATGAACCAGTAAACTCTGTTTAGCTCAAATGTATCATAATCACCTCAATACCTGAAGGTGTTGGGTCTGTTCCCAGGTGTATCGTTAGGCCATGTTTCTGAGGTGTCCTACAATATGCCAAAACAATTTTATGATGTCTCTTAGTTCTCAATAGTTCTGAGGAACTAAGACCCTAAGAAACTGACTACAAACTGAGGAATGTCCACAGACATCTTACAATAAGTTGTTATCGACAGTAAAACGACATAATCCTTATTCAGTAATATCAGTGTGTTCATATGTTTATTAGTTTTCAGCTGTCCTCCAAATGATGTCAGTTCATGATGAAAATTGCCTTCAAATGTTACGATATCTTCATAAAAAGACCTAGATTTGAAATCATCATAAATCCAAAGCTACCTATGATTAAATTCAACACCGGTTTTCACGGGGATTACGATACCATTAAATCATCAATTAGGAACAAAGTGTTCTATAATTTTTCTTGTAGTCAATATATAAGATTTAACGTTACCAACACCCAAGTCAAAAATGATACAGTTAGTCGTCACCACAAATATAGGACAGTTGACCAGCACTTCTTAGTTTTCAGTGGACTCATATAATATAAGTTTGTGATAAAAATTATCATCAAAGTATGCAATATCTCGCGGGGGGGGGGCGAGATCATGGATACGCACTGCTGAGGAGTCCCACATTAGGACGAAACGGCCATCCAGTGCTTCTAGGCTTCCAATGGTGATCTAGCTTCAATTGAATCATGATCTCAACCATTAAAAATTAATATCATATTCACAAAACCCTTTCTGATATTAAATATCTAAATATTTAGATTAACATAAAGAATTTGAAATTCTGAAAGTATGTTATACCATTAAATTCAAAATATGCTATGAATAGTAACATCGATATAGGACATTAATCAAAATAGTATGTTTTACAACTTCTATGTCTTGTTTAAATTTATTTAATAAATGTGACTCATACATACATGTAAATATAAGTACAATTAAAGGTTTTCTGGAGCTTTGTCTATATCTGAGACATATTGTGTTGTGTGAACAATGACCTTGTAAACGTACTTCAATAACATAGCAAAATATTAAAAAAAAATTATATAGATAAAACAATAGTTATATTGTTTTACCAAATTAGGCTTTTGAGAATTAATATTGAGTATTTTTACGATATCGATAGCCAAAAAAAAAGAACGCTGACTTGTCATTACTGTACCATGTTGTATGATATATGTGAATGGACTTTATTGTTGATGATAATCATATTCCTACATTTAATAGTTAAGAATTATCGATTAATTATCTATCTCTCTCTCTCATAACCCACTAGCTTCACACCTAACGAAATAGTAATAAACGTAAATAGTATTTCGATCAAATGAGGCTTAAACAGTATGATAATGCATTGAAACCTTTGAAATGAAAATAAATCTTGATTTCATCTAGTGATAAATTTTGTACATTTCATAGAAAGCTTCCAAATATTCTAGATTTAATACCCTGGTACTAATCGCAAGCGAATTTGTCTAGATTTTTTTTTTCACACAAACTACTAGAATAAATTGTTAATTTAAGTAGTATTATAGTTAACAAGAATGTTCAATACAATGTTATACATTTTCGTTAATTGTGTATTCCATCAACAAAGTACACTTTTACTGAATTAATTATGAAACAGAAACATAAATGTAAATTAAAATCTTAAAACTTCCACTTCTTATATCCTAGAGGTAATAAAGTTTGTAATATTGTCATTAGACCGAATGATTTAACTTTATGGGTTATCCGTTTTATTGTTGAACATTGAGTGATTGAAATAAATTGATCTCGTTCTTTTAGATTATTAGTTTTGTTTCGTAGTTGACAAAAAAAGAAAACAGTTCAACAAGCTGTAGAACAAATAACTTAAGATGACATGGTTTACAGAGATAACAAAGGACTAATTTATGACCGTTAAGGTTTTATTCATTATCACTAACATGGGGGAGAGGATTCATCATAATCTCTGTTTATCGGAATTTCTTCACAACTTTGATTGTTTAACTTAAGTCATTGACAGATTGTTTAAAAAGTGAAAACATTAAGAGTAATTAGATACATAATAAAATGTATTGATTACACATTTTTTAAACAGTTGCTAACAGTCTAATTCAGTACATATCACTGTAAACTTTAAGTAATTATTCATGAAGTCACAACAACTAAGGAGTATAGTAAACTTATTTCATGTAACGTTCAATATTTATCAGTACTCTCGACAAATGTACAGTTCATTCTTGTCTGTGTATAGGATAGTTGTTGTCTTAAACTATACGTTGTTCGCGTGAAACACACTGTTCTACAAATCTTCATCGGTTTTTAGTTCCCTACAATCTGATGAAAGGTGAATCTAACGTTATTGATCTAACGTTATAGATATTACGAAGTAATTTTAGATGATAGCAACTTAGAGTTAAATTTAGTTGTAACGTTCCTTCACTATTCGAAAAGTCAGGTGATTACTGATTATAATTATTTATGATGTTCTCAAGTTTTATATATATTGAACAACAATGACGGATTATTACAGTTTACTAAGTTACAGAGTAATACTTCACTGTTTACTCGTCTGAAAATAAACAACTAAAAAAAGCCAGTTCGTAGTATGACTTGAATATAAGTGACCTACTTGTATTCATTATGATAACTTAACAACGGAGAATATACTCGGATTAGCTTTGTTTTTCAGATAAATGAAATAGATCAGTCATTATGTTTATTTTTTTGTTGTTGTTTAAATGACAATTTAGCATGATCTAAATGAATACTTTGATCTATTCCTTAATTTACGGAATTATAAATATACTCTTGACTTTCTGAAATATGAAATGAAGTTTGATAGTCTTCCTAATAGAAGGAATAATGTTGATAAGGTTATCATCTTTTATGCGTTAAATATCGTATGTTTGATTACAAACATTCTTCTTGGGTTTTTTTCTCTCTTTAAATTGGGAATTTTAACGTTAGGCAACGGATAAACAGACAGATAGATAGATAAATCAATAGATAGAGGGGGGAATTTAAATTTAAATGAAAATAAATTTGATGCTGTTTTTCTTTTTACAATAAAAAGTCTGCTAATCTGCTATGGGAAACAAACGTTTTTAGACAATAAAAGGCATGGATATTATTTGTATATCCCTATTTCTTTTAAGATCTTGGTTTTTTTTTATTATTTCATATGTGAAGCCAAATGTTTTTGTCTGAGTAAAGAAAATTTTTAATTTATGTATATTCTAGCTAGAATTGTAAATTATTATTAGTATAAAAGGCTTTCTTTCATTGTTATTATGTTATATACAGTTTGCAAACTAAATGCTGAGGAGTTTCACAATAGGATGAAATGGCTGTCCAGTGCTTCCAGATTTTCTATGGTGGTATAGCTTCTATTGACTCATGATCTCGACTATTAAATTATTATTTTTTTTTTAGTAGTTGAAATCATGAGTCAATTGAAGCTAGAGCATTATAAAAACACCTGGAAGCACTGGACGGCCGTTTCGTCCTCATATGGGAGTCCTCACTAGTGCGCATTCACGATCCCACCCCCCGCGAGATTCGAACTCAGGATCTATCAGTCTCGTTTGTGAGCGCTTAACTTCTAGACCACTGAGCTGGCCGGCATCCAACGGTGTTATTGTCTAACTTCAATCAATCCACGAAATTGCGCCACCTTACACTATTGTCTTCAGTGAGCTGATATCTCACAACAGACCTGGCTGAACTCCACTGGTTACGGCTTCTCACTAGAACTCCAGGAAATTCCTCTTGAAGTTAGTCACTGGTGAGCAGATGATTATTATCAGAAGGGAGTTTTTAGAGATTTTATAAATTTCAATAGTTGGAATCGTAAGTCAATTGAAGCTAGACCACCATGGAAAGCCTGGAAGCACTGAAAAGTGTAAGCGAATGCTTTCTATGGAATCCTAGAAATAAAATAAAGGATGATACTG